AGAGAGAGAGAGAGAGAGAGAGAGAGAGAGAGAGAGAGAGAGAGAGAGAGAGAGAGAGCAGCGCGGAGCGCAGCGGAGCGTGGAGCGTGGAGCGTGGAGCGCGTCGGAGCAGAGAGGCGATGGCGGGGAAGTGGCAGAGCGGGTCAATGACGGATGAAATCGAGCGTGCGCGAACCCGACGAACGCCGTTGAATTTTTAATTCAACAGTGTTAAACGTGTTTGAACGCGATGTAACGCATTTTAACGGAGTTCAACGCAATTGGACGCGCGGGTCTGACCGCTGTTTGGCGGGGTTCGGGGGGGGGGGGGGGGGGGGGGGGGGGGGGGGGGGGGGGGGGGGGTTATCGAAGGGTTGTGGGACGGGGACACGAGGGCGGCTGCCAGTCGACGGGGTATGGGGGGTTGCCTGTGCACCGTTACCTGGTTGTCGGCCAGAAGGTCGACAACAAGGGGGTCATGATGCTGCGTTGCACGTTTTGCAACAAAGTATTTCAGGGGAGCCAATTCAAGTCGACGAGGCATTTCACGCAGACAAACTACTGCAAGGACGTCAGCGATGAGGCTTTGTACGAGATCGCGCGACGGAGTGAACAGAAGTTCGAGAGCGATCAAATGGAGAGGGTTGCCAGGTACGCGGCGGAGCGCGGAGTCGATGTGCCTGGCACCGGTGGTGTGAGGGGAGGAGAGGCGGGGCGGGAGCCCGTGGAGGGAGCGTCAGTAGGGGTCGGGGGAGATGGTGGAGGTGGAGACACGGAGGAGGGCGCGATCGACGTCGATCGCGAGGCGCGTGTCCCGGGCGAGCAGGGAGTCCCGGAACACGAGGACGTGCTTGAGGTTTATCCAGGCACTGGGGAGAGGATGGAGGACTTTTTGAGGCGAGCAGCCAAGGGACCTGTAGGGGAGGGTTCTTCCAAGAGGAAGGAAGGTGGAACAGATCCGGCCGTTGCCCCAGCAGGGAAGAGGCATCGCCAGCAGAAGGTCACTGACGTCTACGGTGGCGAGTGGGTTGCTCGCCACAAGAAGACATTCCTTCGCTGGCTCTATTTCAGCGGGGTCCCCTTCAATGCCTTCCGCAACCAGGCTTGGAAGGCATACCAGCAGGTCCTTCTTGAGCAGCATGGCAATTCCCCGCGCGCTGTGCTCCCCAGCCACAACGAGATTGCGAGTATGCAGGCGGTGGAGACCCACCGTGAGGAGCTGGCAGAGGAGTTGGAGGAGGTGAGGCAGCCATTCTGGATCACTGGTGCCACCCTCCTCTCCGACGGGAGGAAATCACGAGACGGGAGACCGATCATGAATTTCCTTACCGCCGGCTCGCGAGGGGTCGTCGTCTACACGACGATCAATCGCGAGGGCGAGCCGGACGATGCAGTGCACGTCCTTCAGAGATGGGTGACCATCTTCCACGAGTTCAGTTTCGGCGGCCCGCAGCGGGTCAATGCGATATGCACAGACTCCGCATCGGCGTACGTGGGGGTTGCGAGGGCATTGGCCTCGCCGGGCATCCCTCCTGCAATCAGGAGGATCACTTGGCTTGCGTGTTCCGTCCATGTCTGCAACAAATTGTTGTCAGACATGGGGACGAGTTGCGACGCGTTTGTGGACGCGATTACACGCGCTCGTGTTCTGGTGGTGTTTTTCAAAACCCACTAGGCCGCCCTAAATTTCTTTAGGAAGCGCAGCCCCAACAAGGGGCTTGTGCTTTCTTGCGAGACGAGGTTCGCGTCTGTTTATTCTATGTTGGAGAGACTCTTGGCCCTGCAGGACGCTCTGCAGGCGATGATGCGAGGGGATGAGGGGCGGGAGTTTGCTTCTATACCGTGGTCCGCCGATGTGTGCGACATGGCGCGTTGGGTGCGGCGGCAGATCAGATGGGAGCCTTGGTGGCACACGATGGCCACCATAATCCACATCATGCAGCCCGTCATGGAGCTGCTTAGGCGGATGGATCGTGGGGGGCAGTACATGTCCCTCATGATCGAGTGGACACAGGATCTTGTCCGTCGTGTCACTGATGCATGCGCTCCCTTGGGGAGGGTTTTCGCTGACCGCATCATCAGGCGTGTGCAGGCTCGCACACAGCACATGTTGGAGCCTGCTCACTGCGCGGGGTTCTTGAACCCCCGCAGGCGACATGTTGAGTATTTTTCGGGCGAGGTGAGGGATTACCCTCGTTGGCTTGTAAGGCAAGCCAAGAGGTACATTTTGACGCAGACGAGTTACGAGGAGGATGGTGTGGAGTACATCATTGCATGTCGGCAGTTTGAGGACTTCCACATGCAGCAGAGCACATTTGGAGATTGGGGAGGGGGGGAGGGGCGTGCTCGTGGGCGTGCTTGCAGCGGCGACAAGGAGACGATTAAGTGAGCGTCCTGGTGGTCTCAGTACGGGTCTGGCGCACCTGAGTTGCAGCGCTGCGCTCTTCGTGTGATGCACATGTGGTCTTGCGCCTCTCCAGCGGAGAGGAACTGGGCAGTCCACGACGGCATTCACACGAAGAAGCGCAACCAGTTGGCCTTTGAGAAGGTCGTTCAGCTGGTTGAGATCACCGCGAATGTGCAGTTGTCGGAGTATCGGCCGGCTGGGTGCGGTTATGTGTTGCCATGGCAGCGTGACGAGGGCATGCTAGACTGCCAGGCCGGACTGGAGTTGGAGCCAGGGCGCACGGGCACGCGCAGGGGGATGACGCCGGAGGAGATTGCCCGTTAGGTTGCGCTTATCACCCGGGATCCCATCGGGGTCTCCGCACCACCCGCCGCTGAGGCCGTATTCGGTAGACGTGCTTCCATTTTCCGTCCTTACCCCAGGGAGGATGATTATGACGAGGAGCCGGTACCCGAGGCAGCGGACCACCCCGCGCTCCACATTCGCCGTGAGATCGACGAGACGCACCTGTACCCCGAGGTGGACACCAGGGTGCATACTGCACGACGAGACGCTGACAGGGCAGAGAGGGAGATGATGGGGGGAGAGGAGGAGTTGTGGGCACCATTCGGGGAGGTCGCTTCGACGGGCGGCACAGGAGCGCGGGCGACGAGCCCCGCTCCGACGAGGCAAGAGTCGTCCATGCCGCCACCTTCTGCTCCGAGTCTTGCACCGCCATCGCCCGTCGCGCCATATGAGCCGACCACGGCAGCAAAGGACACGGAGGAGTTGGCGTCCTCTTTGCCTCAGCGCGGACAACTCCACAGAGGCGGGGCAGTCCGACAGCTGAGGGTACGATTACCTTCTCCGGGGGTCTTGCAGGAGGAGGGGGCACCGTCGGCAGCAGCAATGGAGGGGGAGATGGCAGTGGAGGGGGGATTGGCGGACACGACGATTGCAGGTGTGGTGGACCAGATAGCTGTAGCAGCAGCGGCTTCATTGCTAGAGGAGATGGAAGCTTCAATGTTGGCGGAGGAGACACCGGCGCCAGGGGGAGCAGATGCAGTGGAGGGGCAGGCGGGAGCAGCAGGAGGAGCAGCGGGAGGAAAAGTTGAAGGAGCAGCTGCACTGGATGGGCTTGTGGCTGCAGCAGCAGGAGCAGCGAGACGAGGGTCGGATGCAGTGGGGGGGGAATGCCAGGAGCAATGGAGGAGGAGATAGGGGCACAGGCGGAGGTGTCGCGTGGGGGCGGCGACGAGCGCCTCATGCAGCAGTTCCTCACGGAGCAGTACGATCCGGTCATGGCGGGTATGACCCCAGGTGTGGCGAGGGGGTTGGGGATGTCGGATTCGCAGATGGGGAGCCACCTGGACTTAGATTTGTCGATGGGCCTTCCACCTAGTTGCGGGGGGGCGACATCGACGGATCGCGCTCCATCGAGGGACGACGCGGTTGGAGAGAGTCTCACGCAGCCCCAGAGAGTGACGATGACTGCGTCTCCAGATGCGGCACGTGATATCCTAGAGCGAGAGAGGGCTCGACTTATGGCATCGACTAACCCGCGTGCTCAGGCATTCGCACGGGCGTTGGAGGACGCGAGGTGTCGAGAGACAGGGGGGGATTGTGTGGAGGGTGGGGTCACTTGGGTGGTTGCGGGGGTGGATGTTGTGGGGGGGGGGGCGGGGGGGGGGGGGGGGGGGGGGGGGGGGGGGGGGGGGGTTGGTGGCGGGGGAGGAAGTTGTGGAGAGAGTGGTGGCATGGGCGGACGCTGAGGCTGTGCAGGGTGGGCGGTCGGCAGCGGATATTCATGTGGAGGGCTTGCAACTGGCGGTGGATGAGGCTGTGTAGGCAGGACGGCCGCGAGACGAGGGTGTGGGTGACGCACGATGTGTGGTTCGGGAGACAACAACGGGTCTAGTCGTTCCGTTCTCGGGCCTGCACTTGGCTCAGGGCCGACAGTCGCAGCCGGTGCCGGTGGCAGTGCATGGTGTGCCGCCGCTCGTTATCACGGATTTGGGGTCCGAGCCGGTGGTTGCGCCACCGCGTCTTCCTACTCACGTTGCTCCGCAAGAGGTCCGCCGTCCTTTGGATGGAGACGAGTTTGCGAGAGAGGCAGTCCGCGATGTGACTCGCTTGGACCGGCGGGTCTTTGACTAGAGGCCACAGCATCCACCATGGCAGGCGATCCCTCCAGTTCCATGGGGTCCTGCATCGCCGGTGTGGTCTGGGTCTACCTCCACCGGAGCATGTACGGCGGGAGATGTTCCAGGGGTTTCAAGTGGCGTCGTGGAGACGGCGCCACATACACGAGACATGCCACCCCCTCCTCCTAGACCACCTGTAGGTGATCCGTCATCGTCGCCCGCAGGCAGAGGCTCTCGATCTCCACACACGCCTGGGAGGTTTAGGATTCGGGACACTACAACCGTTGTGGGGGACGTGAGTGACACAGCGTTGTTCGGGAGGACAGACATAGATTTGGATTCCACCCGCCGTGTGACGGAGCACACTGCACGTCTACAACCAGGTTTGGGACCCCGCGACGGCAGGATGACCTAAGCGAGGGAGGTGGCAGCATCAGGTTGTGAGCCTCAGCGAGGTTGCGACAGAGGAGTGTCCCCCGATAGCTTGGAGTACGCTCTGATGGCAGCGACGCGTGTCGTACATGCGCAGACTCCACGCAAGCGCGGAGTGCCTCCTCGTCCACACCCCGTGCCCGCAGAGGGAGGAGATGCACTTGGAGAGACTTCAGGGGCAAAGGGGTTGGGGATGCCTCGTGGATCGCGCCGTGAGCAGACGGTTACCGAGGCTAGTGCGAGGGTTGTTTTGTTGAGGAAGGCAGGAGCCCCTGTCACCATCGAGGAGGATGATCCTGAGACAGATGTGGCAGTGCGGGAGGAGGACGAGGACTATGAGGGCGAGGAGGAGGGAGAGGAGGAGAGCGAGAGAGGTTCCGATGGTGACTACGACCACGACGAGCACGAGCCCCCACCTCCCCCACCGAAAGGTGCAGCCAGACAGCGCGCTCCGCAGACTTCTTCATCATCACGAGGGAGGAGGAGTTCGACATCCGACACGCGAGGGGGTACGAGGAGACAAAGCGGGAAGGGGAAGAAGCATCGTTGACTGATGAGGCCAACACTCATTTTTTCCCCTGCTCGCACTGAGGTTCGTCATGTTGTGCGGTCCTATTTTTTTTGGTCGTCTCGTCTTGTCTTAGTGTTGTTAGGCTCTCAGTGGTTGTGTGCGTGCAGCGTGCTACAGATGTATTAGATGATGTTTCCTTTGTTTTCGGTGTGTATGATTTTGGTACCAGTATGGTGTTCGTAGAGTAGCGTTGTACCAGTAGGGTGTTCGCAGAGTAGCTACGACACGAGTTGTACACTACAGTTTCGTTTGTATTTTTTCGACATGTGGTACCACTGCCTTAGCAGTAGCCTGTAGGATACATTGCATATGTTGCATTTTTCATTTTTGTTTTCACTGAGAGGTACTTTGCGTCGTTGAGGACTTTTGATGCACAGTACATTTTCCATGTATAGTTTCAGTTTCGATTGATGCTCGTCGTGGTCGGCGTGCGCGAGCTTTCATGACCATTTTCATCTATCGTGATTTTATATATTTCATTGTTGTTATCATTTGCAATCTCATTTCCTGCGTTTGACGCCGTTTGTTTCTTGCACAATTCTACTTTAGTTTTTTGCCTGAAGAGTTGCTTGTGTGCTTGTTCTTTCTTTTTTTCTTTTCTGTGTTGATTGTTGAATCAAATTATCTTTGTATGAGGTACTGCCTGATATTTGGGGGGGGAGGGGTTGGATGCGAACAGGTAAATGGGGGGGGCGGG